AAATGAAACTCATTTACACAACATCGTTGACATTGGACATAAACTTCTGTTAATATCACAAGATGAAAAATTGTATGCAGTTTCGGCATGTTGTCAACATGTACACGTGCATAATACATACAACTCATACTGCACCTACTTACACACCTACATGCGGTGCCACGACTGACACGTACTACATGCAAAAACCGTGCCGTTTCAGTAACTGTCTTACTGCAACGACCTAAAGTAACCTATTTTCAGATGAATTTTTATACAGGAAAATTAATTTCAATGTCGAATTGGCACTTTGGCCAAATGCATAGAAGAACTTTTCCAACGATTTCAGTATTGGTGATCATTTCGGGTGACAAAATGTCGACCGCGAAGACGTCAATTCAAATTGTTTGCCGGCGGTTCAGGAAGTAACTCTTAAGCAATTATTGCACACATGCTTAAATAATCCTGCCTGCAAATTTAATCATAGAGTAGCAGTTGTGTCAATTTTAATAGAAATAAACGCATCACACCTATGAGAGCGAATCAAACACTCTTAATTGAATTGTATTACTTTTTTTCCTGGCCAAGAAATAGTCAGGTGACAACGATCTCATTCGAGAAAATTCTAAGCATTCTCGTCAGATGAGTCCGTTTTTGAATGAAGAAGCATCTGCGGCTTCACACACACACATCGGGCATAGATAAAGTTTTTCCCCAACAGTCAATGATAACAAAATCAATAGAATTTCTTCCAAGAACGTCGCCTATACGTTGCTCTCTGCTCACGCACACATTCTAGTTTCGAAACCCTTTCAATGTTTTGAATCAACGTTGTCCATGACTATCTAGTCGAAGCTGCAGGTGTAAGTACAATGAATCAGGGACGATGGAAGACCCAAGACTGACTATTCATGAAGTTCAGTATAAAAATTTCCTCATAATTTTTTGGCAACGCAGCATGTTTTATAAGCCGACCTGCATGTTTCGCACTCCGTCAAATGTGAAACTAACACCAGTCACGTTTGTTTCACGCTGAGGGTGGCATACAAAAATATTTCATTTATAATAACCGTTCAATGCAACAAAAATGTTTTTACAGCAATGAATTAACTATTTGCGATTGTTTTACAAACGAGCGTTACTTTACATGCTTATAGAAGAAGTGGGAAACGAATAAGACGGAAGACGATGGTCACGGTCATAAAGTGTTAGTTCCGAGCCCTGAAGTGTCAGTTTTTGGCAGACGATGTGATCGGTCATGGCTGCGACTGACAGAAGCACACATGTCAGCTTGCCAACCTAAACAAGGCCTCTCTTGAACAGCTCTTTTTTAAGGATATAGATGGAGAAGAAACAGTAATTCCCACAACCAACTGCAAGCTACACGCACCACAAGTCAACAGGAATTTCTGTTCGTTCAAAATGCATATCATGTGTCAAAAAAGGTTGAAGAAACGTTATTATACGTTATTATTTGTATTTTGCACTGTATTCAGGATAATTACGGATAATAGCAACCGAACTGTTTCCTGGTGTTCTGCATGAAATTTTCGTTGATCTACCGAGAATGGTTGGTCAGCATGGATATTTAAGCTATACTTTGAAACACAAAGACTTTCTGTAAAATTTAATATAATTTAAACATTCTTTACCAAGACCGTTAATTCACGAGTAGTTAGATTTTCCGTATTGCTACAATAACATGAGAATATGTAACAGTTCATCGAACTGGTTACTTATCATATAGGTACTCGAAGTCGAGTTTCACTTCACAGCTACTGCAACGTGGGCAAATATCTCCGGTCAAGTGATGTCAGGCTCTGCATTTCATACGAAGATCATATCTTTCGTTTTTACAGCGAATTAAAAAATAATTAACCTCGTGAATTTTTGGCACGAACATTTTATCCACATTCATGTGAATAATCATAGCATAGATTAATTCTCTAGAATAGTTAGCACATCTGTTTGCACAGTTAATTTAAAAATTAGATAAGAAGAAATTAACCTGATGACATACAAACAGGATTGTCAGTTTTTCCAATGCACAGCAAAAACTAAAATACCTTACTTGCAATAATATGAGTGTATTAATTTCATACCTTGCTCGCATCCTAAATGCTGTTGTTTATGAAAACAATCTGACTCAGAAATTAGACCGAGAGCCATAATCGTCTTGAGGTTAAACCAGTTAGTTAAGTGGCCAAATGTTTACTAACGCTTCAGCTGTTTAGCAATCTCGCACCGAAAGTGAAGATGAACATCACTAAAGAGGTGGCAGGTCTCAGTTATCGAAATATTCTCAAATCAAAAATTATTCATCACCCACAAGGGGCGGAAGATCTCAATTGTCCAGCCCGCTGAAGCTGGCTCGAAGGCAGCAGGGTTAGCATCTCAATGTGAGGAAATGACAAGGAGGGACAGGTGAAAAGCAACAGAAACTAAGACACTCGAACAAGAGGTCGCTTACACGGGACGTCGGCCGCCCGCACGATAGAGACAGAGAAGGGAAATGTAAGGAATTCTACCTACATAATAACTTAATGTAAGGAATCCTACCTACATAATAACTTAACCCTACAACTGAGACCCGCAGTCAGACACCGCGAGCTCAGCGATGGGGCGCTCAGGAACAATCCCCATATAAGAGCGCGAAATCCCACAGGGCTTCTGACGAGCACAGACACGCGTCAGAAGACCCTCCTGAGGGGGAAGGTTAAACCAGAATACAAGCGACAACGAAAAAATAATCGTGTTAACAAAACGAAAAAAAGAATCGCGTCAACAAAACTACGACCTATAATTCGATGATTTCAACAGCAAAGGGTTCAACACAATACAGAATTAAAGATACAATGCAAGTTGCGCAAGTAGCTGTGGATGTTATAACAATGACAGAATCCACCAACTTTCGAACGTTATTGGAATAAAATATAACCAGGTATTTTCTCGGTGGATGAATCAATGCACAAGAGAGCCTAAAATATGGTCGTTTACACTGGGCTAGAGCAAGACCTTTCGATGAGGCATGACGTCATATTACACGTCAGATGTGACGCACAAAAATGATAGCACAGATGCACGTGCGACTGATCGTCATGACCTCTATAGTGAATACGGAAATAAATAGTATATAAAAGTTTCAATAACGATAACCTTAGAGTTCCATAACACAACAGACTGGATAGATGTGGTTTAGGCAAAAAGTCGCAGTTTCAGTTAAGCCTGGAGTAAAAGACGCAAGCAAAAAAATAAACGTTGCCGAGAACCGTGAGGTCACTGAGTGACACCAAATTTCATTAGCACTGAGCAGATGCAGGACAAGTTCGGAGCGGTCGGGAAGGCGACGCTGTGATCTGGTGATATAGTATATACGAATGTTTTGTTTTTAATTCAGAAGTTGATCTAGATAAGTGACTCATGGCCCTCAGAACACAATCACGATAATACGCCCTCGCAACCGTATTTATTAGAGTATTCTCTCAGGAAAATGCAGATTGTGATAGATTATATAAACATTTTGGTCAGAAAATAAGAGGGAGAATTCTAACAGCATGGTATTGGTAATAAACAGAGGTAATTCGATTTTTAGGTCGACATTCATTCTGACTGAGATACTTCCTGCGTATGGACTGCAGCTGTGATGGCAGACGGCACCAATTGCGCTCATAAACCTTTCGAGTGTCAGCAGGAGTGTGTGCCACAAAATTATTGCTTTTCGAACATCTATGAGCAGGAAACATTTTAAATTCCGTTAGCTTGAATATTTAAATCATTACCCGGTTTTCGATAGATGCAATTTGTAATCCTACTCTTTTTGCGATAGATGCAATTTGTATTCCTACTCTTTTGAATAAATTAGGACACTGACGTTCAAGAATGCTCGCATTAATAAAGTTAATGTTGCATGGATTGTAGATCGTGAAACGCAGTGACTTAATTACTGCGTTAAGAAATACGAGAGAAACTAGTTCATTAATAACTAATTCAGAGAAGCACAAGAAACTAATTGGAGTGGCTATACAAAAATAATAAATCGAAGAATTTGCGTTTAAATTGCGGCTGTTGTAATCTTCAGCTTCTAAAAGTCGGTGGAGAGCGGCATCGGCAGGATTTAAATGGATCGTTGGCCAAGCAAATTTCTTGTTGGGTCAGGGTCTCGAAAATTGAACACTAAACTGTACTAGACCTGATAGGCCTGGTGGTCTGGTGGTAATCAGACATCTCTTTTCGCGCCCTGATGCTCCTGTCGAAAACTAAAATATTGATCAGCTGTGATCAACAATATTGATCAACGCCTCACCGCCCCAAAGTAGAGTTTACTCAAAGCTATAGGGCAGCATGAGCGGGATGCAGCACGAAGCGCTGGACTTACATTCACACATAAGAGTGTGAAGATCGATCAGGGACCGTGGGACGGTATTTTTCAAACCCTCGATCACTGACATAAAGCTTTACACGGGACCTCAAATTATGAGACAGAACACATGAGAGCTAATTTTCATGCATAATAAATAGAATAATTCGAGTGCTAATTTGCATGCCGGATACCAGTGATATGTGAAGGCGTTGGAATAAGCGGGCCTGAAAAGCAGCATATCGTTGTAAATATATGTATATGCTGTACTGTTTATGTACTATATTTATGTATTTTACTTGTAACTGCGTAAAACTTAACTGGGGTTACTCACCGGATGTGAAACGTATGTATAAAAAAACATTTTGAAATCGCAAAGAACAAAGAAGGCGCCTAACCTAACCGCATTTATCCTTAGCAACTAATCACTAGAGAAGACTAAATGTCAAGAATATATAAACTCGATTACTACGCAAACAAATCTATTTCCTAACACTCCCAGAACAGAATAATAAAATCTATCTCGTAATATGCATAATACGAGATAGAATTGATAATTCTAGTACACTAACATCACAAGAGTTTTAGAGCTATACGGAAAAGCTGGAGCAAATTAGACATAATGAAGCACACTCAATACAGACATGCAGAAAAGAGTACTCACCCCTCCTCAGGATGCGTCTCGACTTCACGCTGCTCGCTGTCAGTTTGTGTGTCACCAGCAGGAATACTGTAGTCAGCATCTGGTCGAGTCTCGACGGTCTCGTAGTCGTAGGTCGAAGTCGCCTCTAGAGATTCAAGGCTCTCAAAACCAGCGATATATTTGTGTAGGTTGTCCGGTAGCTGGTAATTTTTATCCCTGCCAACCTCTTGTTCTTTATATTCTTCATGGTCACGAGCCTGAAAAATGAAACGTGAGAACATGAATGAAATGAATCGAATAATGACGGACTTCGTCGTGTTAACAGCACACATCAATACTGCTAGCAGCTAGTACGTTAATGCGGGAGTTAGCGGGTGCCAACATCATGCATCGTTCAAATGATAAACGCAACACACAATTGTGGTTGTACGAGTCCTATTTCTTACATAACGTGAGGAAAATTATTGAAATCTTACCTCATCAATAACATAAGAAGACTCATTGGTGGAGCCTGCAGTGGAGATTTTTTCTTCAACAACAAACTCTTGCTCTACAGTGACTTGAGGCTGGGACACAAATTTCACATTAGATTCATTAGAAGTCGCATCTTCTTTATCCCTGGCTATAGCCAGAACATCTGTCGGTTCGTTTGTTCTAGATATTTCATTGTTTACAGCATGAACCAAAGCTTGCTCAACTGCTTTGCTCCTCACATCTTCTCCTGCGAAGCTGTCATCTTGTGCAGCATTATTTTGTTCAGAAGAAGCTGACTCAACTGCAGTTGTATCGCTTGGTCCATGTTGATTGATATATTCATTGATATTTGCAGAAGATATATCTAAGCCAAGCTTTTTCAGAGCCTCTGTGACCACATTTACTGGAGAGGATGTTTTTGGTAGTTCATATACACTCTCCAACTCACTTCCTTCATTGAAATTATTCTCCATAACTTTGGTGGGACTGATGTTACTGTTTTGATCATCATGGGCATTGGGAAGAATAATATATGCTATTTCAGATTTTGTGACATGGTTATCTGAACCTTCAAGAGCTGCACCACTCTCAGAGTTGGAAGATTTTTGTTGAGGCTCTTGAATGTTTTTGATGACATATTCATCATGATTTGGAGCAGAACCTAGTCCCACATCAGGCTCAGAATTGGTTATGATATTTTTTCTATATTGGGCACTGTGAGCTTCATCTTGTTTCATTAACGAGGGAGCACATTCAACCAAGCGCAGCTGCCCATTGATGACTCTGTAATATAGAAGAAGTTTTATACAGTAAATTGATATATAAATGAGATTATTTACTTGTCATTCTTTTTTAGTTCACTAAGCTGTTGCAGGATTCTTTTGTATAACTTATTTAAAACATTGCTCATAAAAGTGACTCTCATATAACTGAAAAATGGGGCAAAAATCATCTGTAAAATGAGTCCAAATGATGATGCCAAATCCCTTTAACAATTTTATCAATAACTATTGATTAAAAAGACATGTCCACACCCATAAGGTTTGGAAATCTTTTCATGAAATAATTTTCAGACAAAAAAGCCCGCAACAGCAGTCTGTAAGGCATTCATTTTACTTATTGTGTGTAGGCCTTGTCCATACCTGCTTTGCAAAATGGAATGATAGGCAGAAATTTCCAAAAAACACCACTCAAAAAAATGTTTTAATGCCAATTCTCAAAAATCATGAGCAAAAAAAGTGCCCTTTTTCTTAATTTGTACTGAGGAAATTAGTCAAGAGTATTGTGTAAAATTGTCAATGAACACAAGTGTTTCTGTATCATTCAGGGCCATAATATTTAAATGAAAATTAAATTTTTTGAACTTTGACAAGTTGGCGATTGTTTTCAAATGAACAGCAACTGAGAAGTCTCATTTACCACTATGCTATGCTTGGCCCTATTTTAAAGTGAATGTAAAAGAATCTGGACTTTTTGGGATGCTGAAGATAGAAGTCACAATCAAAGAATGGCACGTGCCTATAACCAGCTATGTAATACAAGTGCTTGAGCTGTAGCTGGAACTTTCTCACCATTTTTGGAGCCAAAAAATTCCAACTAAATGAATCAACTCCTATCTTATGCTCTTATATAGTTAATGTAAGTGCATGATCAAATTTTCATGCTAAAATGCACTTCCATTGGAATAAATTTTTGAAAGGCAGGAAATAAAAAATCTGCTCCCATATATTATTTATACATACAGAACATCAGCATTATCAGCATTTATTAAAGGTATCTTAATTATATGGTTGACTAACCCAAAATAAAATCCACCCCAAAAGATGTTCATAGTTTTGTAGACAATTTCACCTATTTCCATGGCCATTTCCAATCTTCAATAGAAAATAAGAAAAATGGCAAATTTTTGCATGCAATTTATCAAAATGGCCCATGAAAAAATCATTTTAGAAGTGAATTTCAGAAAAGCATGTCAAATATTAGATAGACTCCTCAGACATTAGCAAGTCATAGCGGCAAATGCAAGATTTTCAGCAGCCACTTCACTTACTATATCCAGATTGAGTCAAAATTTTATTCATTATATATATATTATATATAATGATATTATATATATTATTATATATATATTATATATACAACCATTATATATATATTATTATATGATAATGCTATAATCCAATATTCATGATACTTTACTCACTTACTGGTATGCTAAATTCATAGTGGCTAACTAGAGATTTTTTTGGAATCAGCCCATTTTTCATTTCTAGATCTACTTAGGGTAAACGCGGTATATTCCGACATCGTAGGTAATTCCGTCACCTCTCCAGCTTTTCCTTTATATTAAGCTTTGTTTTAGTTCCATGCGTTTGTTGATGGTTGAAATGGTGACGTCATACATTTGCGCCTCAAAATACTGCCAAAACACTAGGTCTTGGCCATCTAGCGGGAAAATATTGAGATCCAAAGAGAGACAATGCATGCCACCTGGTGAGATCATCAAAAAATGCGTCAAATTTGACAGTTGACCTTGCTCTACCAAATAGTGAATAACTGTTTTTATAGGAAGAATATTATGGTTTGAGACTTTTAAATATGTCTGTGAATGTATTAGGAATCCTTTAAGTATACTTGTATTCGCTGAATTTATTTCAAGTCGTAAATAAATTAATAGATGATGAAGTTGAGAAATGGATTTAGACACATGAAAACTAATTCCGACACAACTTGAATTGGACACACACAGATCATTCAAAGCTTTGTACAAAAATTAAAATTTGCTTAATTAAAAGCCTAATAGCTGTTAATTAAAACGTAATTAAGTAGTGTTCAATATTCATTAGTGTTCTAATTCAAAGCCGTGTTGTATCCCAATACAGCTCACACAGCAAACGGAATTCAAACACGTGGATGTCGGCAATACGTATCAGTTAAATTTGAAGCGCTGACGCAATACGACTCACCACGTGTCGGATGTTGCCACACAAAGTGACGGAATATAGGGATTTGGTAGGTTTCCATTCTAAAGGCTTTTTAATAAATATGGCAACATTTTGTGACGTTTCATCGTTGCTGACGCGTAGTGAAGTGTTTTGAGAGTCATGTGGAGGCAACAGAACTTACGTAACGCATACGGTTTTTATTATAGTTTTTCATTTCTCGATGCGTCCTTAAAGTGTCGGAATATACCGCGTTTACCCTATGAGGTATCCAATATACTTACTGGTCAACTTGTAGGACTTGAAAATGAAATTTAGGAAGGGCAAAAAAAAATTTTTTCTTTGCCACTATGCTACATTGCTACTCATAGTCTCAATGTCTCATAGCTAGTCAGGCCCAAAAGCATGAAAAGGACAAATTGTACAAAACTTACAGAAGCCAACCATCATGACCATGAATTGGACAAAAAATATGATATTCTGGCCAATTCTAGTATTCTACTCATTCCTTTCATATTATGCATTGCAAGCATGGCATGGAATATATCTACTTGGCAAGCCGCATCTGGATTTTTCAAGCTGTTTTTTTATGGGTTTGCCAGCCATGATTCTATTTCTTTGAGCCATGAATTCCATATCTGGGCCATGATTCCATTTCTTCAAGCTTTCTTCTTCTTTTTTGGAGATGGGATTTTCCAGCTATACCTACCTACTTTACTTGCTAGATGAATAACCTGCTTATCCGATTATCAACAGAAGTGCACAATTGGCTTGAAAGATTCTATTTCCAAATCCAAATAGATAAAAAAAAATTCACCTTGAGTTTGAAGGACTTTTCAAGAATAAGCACACAAGAATACAAGAAAAACCCCAAGGATACAAGAATAGCCTAATAAGATTTCACTAAGTAGGTAGCTAGTTAATTTCCCAATCCTGCAGTTATAATTATGAAGCTCAAAAACACAAAAAGGGCAAGTCTAAAAATTTCTCAGCTTTGCTCTGTCATCTTTGCAATAAAATCTTTTTATTTACATAAATTTCATTAATTGACTGAATGTTCAACCCATACTTACATCACAGTGATGAAAATCATAGGCAGAAGATGCACCCACACTTTATTTTCAGAGAAATATTTGATGGCCATTAAGCCAAATTAAAAATCCCATATGGGATTGTTTAATTCACAACAAGTAAATATCAATAGCAGCATAAATTTTAGTGACACAACAAAGTTCTTAGCGAATAATAAATGACTGATTTGATGTATTAACTTCCTTAAACTGGACGCTGACCTTGACATTTTTATGCAAAAACAGTAAACAGAACCTTTAGTTTAAAACCATTTATGCTACCTGAAACATAGCATTCTAATCATATATAAATATCACGAATTTTCGATACGGTCCACTCAAATCCTATCCAATTATTTAGGTTTTGAATGTTCGAAATTTTATGAGTCTACGACTACGAGAGACAAATCAATGACGTGTCTCTACGGGTTTGTTATGGTTTGACTGGTCGTTTTCACAGACAGAATGCAAGATATTTATCATCTTGCTTGACGACATTTTAGGAAACAAATTTTCAAAAGCAGATACTCGGTAGCCCCAAAAAATATTATTCTAATTTCAATCAGAAATTTTTTTCTGCCGATGAAAAATGATGCGCAAATGCTTATTTAGTTCGAAGTTAGTTTTAAATAAATACTGAAATGCAATAATAATTTATTAAATCAATAATATCAGTAGCATTGCACAAAGGATTATTTACTTACCGCATAATCAATCAATATATAAATTCATTTATAAAGGACCAATCCACAGACATGACATCCTTTCATTCTTGCGTATGTCATTGTACACGTGCCCAGCCGTGCGAATGAACAACTTGTAACGCTCCAAGATACCATGATAATTAAAACAATTAATAATTGATTAACTAAGATAATTACGTGACATAGCCTATAACAAGTTTGGTAATCACAAAGAAGCCTTAAGGTCAGTCAAGAGGTCGACTGGCAATATAAATTATCGACTTCACTCTTAAACGTTGGTTAGAAATTCAGTCTAACCTTCGGTTTTACTAACATTTGCAGTCACCCGAGATAAAAAATGCTAGCATCACATGAAGACACTATCAAGAAAAATGCTCATAGGTTAAACAAAGAATTTCCGAGGGTTATCGCATTTCGATACTTTTATGTACAAAAGTTGGGCTTAGAAAAAAAATTCATGGTTTTCACATCATTTAATCACAGGAGATAGCTACATAAAAATGTCAAACTGTACTATTTAATACCAATCCCAAACACGCCACACGATATAACGTTAACATGAAAACCTAAAATTAATCACGCAACGGAGCAAAATCTGATTTACACCTATAAATAGCCCAAATTTGACTTTCAATAATAGGATAAGCATCAAACTCTAATAAGAAAACGCTAACAATTTAAAACGAGAAGACAAGTAAATTAAAAGACAACTCGTTCGCTTGATGACGTAGAAGTACTCAAGCGTTTACAGTGCTTTCTCTTTTTCATCCAAATAATAAGTTAATAACAAGGGGGATCGTATTTATCAAATCATTTAAAATACTAAAAAAAATACAAAACGGGTAACAAAATAGGAACATTCGACTATCCTTCGTATAAATAACTGCTTCAAGTATCACTAAAACATTGATAAGTGAAAATAATAACAATTTTTGCTGACAAGGCTTGTATTCAATGAAGTTCTATCACATGATGATTTTAAATAACATGTGCAAGGTGATTTAGGAAGAACATTAAATCACTCTGAAGCAGCACAATCTCGGTGAGCCAGGAGCGTTACAACCGCGGTAACTCTATGGCTATTCAATTCCAAAATAAATAAATGGATTAGTGTGGTTACTTTTAAAGTCGGCGTACTCCTGGTTTATTTTTCATTCGTGCTTTTGACGAGCTTTAGCTCAGACCTTAGAGGTTTTGCTCGGAAGCAGATAGTCAAAGGAGTTGGATGGTTTTTCGTCATTGATCAGTACGAAAATAATAAATAAATTCAACATCGGTAACTCAATTGCAAAGGCAAACACGGCCAATATGAACTATCACAGCGACGATATTTGCCATATATATTGACAAATACTTTAAAATATGCTATGACAAAAATTAAAACTACATGAATAGCAATTAGACGGGTACGCTCATTCGCTGCCATAGAATTAACTAAATAAAAACACCTCAATTGAATTCGACATCAATTACGAGGAGTATGATGTATCAGACTATGATTTTGTTTAAAACTACATGAATAGCAATTAGACAGGTACGCTCATTTGCTGCCAAAGAATTAACTATTAACTAAATTATAATTAGAATTAACTAAATGGAAACATCTCAATTGAATTCGACATGAATCACGAGGAGTATCAGACTGTGATTTTGTTATCTAAACCACAAATTGATTTGAAAATACGTTCCAAATTCAAACAATTATTTACGATGGGCAACATAGGAATTGGATTCCTAGAAATATTCATCCTTCATCTGAAGTTTTTCTTCAATTTGAAGATCAAAGAGAATCAATCTCTACTAGGTTTAAAGAATAAATTCATCGCAAGTATGCTAGTGTTTTAAACGTAATAGTCAAATTATTATCACTCGTTTTACAATCTCTACGAGCAAAAATGATAAAAAAAATTACACACACAAATTAGTAAACCGTAGGTTAGCAGAATTTGTTCATTTATGCAGATTTCAATGAAGATCACAGAATTTTTTTATTGACAATTTTCTTCTCAGTTTTTTTTCAATATATCGGACAACATTTTTCGTTAGTACTGTTAAATCAAAAATAAGGGTACCGATGGAAATTTTTATTTCATCAACAACGTTTCAAATGTATCAATCAATCATCAATCAATCGCTGGTAAATCCGATTTTTGATTCACCAGTGTAAACGAAAAATATTGTTTGATTTATTGAAAAAAAAATTACCAGTAAAGCAAATTCTCTGGTCCTCAATGAAACCTGCTTAAAAAACACAGACAAATCTCTACCAACTAATACGACCACCTCATTGCTTTTCTTGAAATAATTTCGTAATCATATGATTAAATTAGAGGCAGAATGACACGGTCACGCACAACCAATTGCCGAGAACGTCGTAGGCAAGCAAGTTGTATGACTTTGAAGAACATCAAATCCGAAAAAACATTAAGATTTAACTTGACATAATATAATAATATGAAAAATATGTTATACGATATGTTATACAAGTTATACAATATATTATGTGATATCATTATGAAAATGCGCATAATGAAATGTGTGGGTAGAATCAAATTATCAAAGGGAATGCTAAACGGAATGTAGAAGCTGTTATGGCAATGTAGCAGGAATAAATTCTCTACAGACTAACATGAACAAAATTGACTAGTATATACACTATACAGTATAAGGACTAGTCAAAAATTAAATACGTTATTATAAATTATAGCTGCAAATACTAACCAGTAAAAATGAAACAGTATTTAAAGACGTTTGTACGCATCAAGGAAGCATCAGCATCCCAATACCCATATACTTGAAAATGTTACGGTAATTCCAATATAATTTCTCATTAAAAATACATCAAGAAATGCACATGTTTCAAAAGTGATTCTTTAGAAGGAATTGATTCAACAGAAAGATATGGAAAAATATACCTTACACCTTACACACAAAAAACTGCATCCACACATAAATAAGCTATCAAGGAATATGAACTCATATTTGAAATGATGTCTTTCAAATGTTATTCGATTTGATTTTAATGCTTAATTTGGTTCATAATTTATATTTATACATTCTTAATCATAGAATACTTGAGCAAGGAGATCATCTGCAGCAAGTAATAGCAGGAAATAGTGAATCACATTTGTCATCAGCACAGGATAACACTGCCAATTATTTACAGAGTCACTCTTCAAATTCTCCATCCAGGTAGCTTTCCTCAACATAAATGTGATTATGTTTAATTGTTTAATTCATTAGGTGTTGTTTTATATATTTCATTTTTTAGCCAAGATTGAAAAGTTATAAAGTTATTTTTTCAAATAGAATTGATCACATTTCATATGGTATCAAGTCTTGTGCGGAGAAAGCAAAGAATGTAAGCTAAGGCCATAAAAGGCCTGCACTGACTAAAGTCAGTGCACTGACTGAATTCCCTGCACTGACTAAAGTCAGTGCAGGGAATTGCCATGTCTTACAATGTGGTGACAAAATGGAGAGAAGTTCAGAGAACAGAACGAATATATCTAATAAATAATATACAAAATAAATATTGGAATGTCATAAATTTAGGAGCTGCACATCAGAAACAAAAACTCCAAGTCTGATCTAACAAAAATTTGATGGCTCTGGCATCATCATAGTAGGAGATTTGAGTAGCAGCTATATTTCAAATAAATTTAAAATAATAAATAATTATTTTAGAACAATTCTGGGCTACAGGGAATAAACAATAGCTTAGGCATTTCCCACAGAACGCTGCTCCTCCCAAATCCTGTGCATCTCATCAGGGTCCTTAAAACCATGGGATGCTATGGTGAATTTGTAGCCCTCAATGCTATATGTCTTCTTGTGGTAGTGGAATTCTTCTTGGTGCAGCAAGTGCAAGTTGCCTTTCTTGGCACACATACCCATGAAGATGTCATCAAACCTGAGAAATAAAAAGTAATCATAATCCATGTACAAATGAAGCATTTAGCCACTTCAAAGAAGTATATAACACTTTTAAGTTAGGGCTGTTGAATGTTATGCTCAACAACCAAAGTTAAAGGTACATTTATAACGTACAATATTAGGGTTCACATTAATTAAGCTCAAGGTTAAAATGTTTTTCCTACATTTGCATGCCTAAAGATTGTCTCACCTGAAAAATTTTGTATAGAGTTCCGCAAAATAGAGAGTTTCTAGGGACTTTCTTGACAATATATATGCTCCAGCCGTGATGTAGGCAGGGTAGTGAGAATATGGGTATTCCTCCAAAGACACATACCACTTGCTAAGCACCCAACGCTTGGGGCGAGAAGAAGGGAAAACATAGCCTGCATAAAGGTCTTCTTGAGAGTGCTTATCAGTATTTATAATGAAGCTGTACAAATATTTAGGGTAATTCATTGGGTCTTTTAAGAAGCGTAATGTATTTCTTGTAGATACATAATAATCATCGTCAACATAAAAGAAATACTTGGCATCAGGACAGTTGTGATAAGCCCAATGATGACCCATCATAGTTTTTATGGTGTTGTTGAAATATTCATCAATAAAATCAGCTTGAATGATATCTTTATGTTGAGAATTTTCTTGCATCAAACGTCTTTGCAAGTGTTGGGCGTCAGGCTCAACACCCAAAAGGAACACAGTTCTTATTATCACATCTGAGAATCTCTGTTCTGATCCCCAAGTTTGACGAATCACATCTCTGACATTGAAATTCTTCAATGCACTCTTAACTAGTAATAAAAATGTGATAGGTTCACTTTTATCTCTCACTTCACACTTTTGCTTGTTATCATAGATGAATTTGTGTTTAAATTCATTAACAGGCAAAATATCAGGTGGGATTTTCTCCTTGATTTGCTGTATAAGCGGCTGTAAAGGCATATTTGGGCCCCAGTGTTTATACTCAGTTTTAAATGATAGTGCAAAAAAATGCTGGTAGAGCCCACTTGAAACAAACACCCAAAGTAATAATACAAAACTCAAAATAGTAGGCAAAGGTCGTCTGTATAAAAGCCGCAATAGCTGCATGACGGAGGTAGCAATCTAACTAAAGATTTTACAATATATTAAATGAAAACTATTAGACAGTGACAAAATATACATAGTTTTGGGAAGTTTTTATTCAGAATTATATCTGTAGAAAATTCAATCATTATTTGATTTTTCAACAATAGTTGTCTTAAGTGTCAAAAACAGTTCTAGATATATCTGAAATAAAAAATGGGCTATTTAATTAAACATTTCAACAATTATTGGTTGCAAACTGTGCATCAAATGGAACAGAGTCACATAGAGCTTTAGCAATTTTTAAATATAAGGCAATGCATTTTTATTTATCACTGAAAACAACTAGTATGTAACCCAATTTCTAAATATTACTACATCACTCCAAACCTTTTATGTATAAACTGCACAGATCTTGCATTGAATATCAATTAGTTTTAGGTCTTTAGGGCTAAGAAGTATAAGAGTCTATACTTAAGGATCTTATTTTAATGGCATCAGGGCAGGATTGGAATTTTCCTATTTACTACAAAAATCTTGCAGCTCCAAAGTGACGAATTATCAATATATTTGGAATTTTGCTGCCAATTTGGGCATTTTAGTAAACAACAAGATAGTAGGTAATTTATATTGGGGGAATCTTATGGCTCCAAAAATGGCGGGAAAGCTCTAGTTGAGGCTCAAAAGGTATTTATATTCCATGCCTGTATCAATGTATATTTTTATGAGATGTAGGCAAACTAAGGCAGTTGGCACTACAGCCAAAGCCATGCCATGGCAAAACAGTACTCTGTTAGAAAATTAGCAACTAGCTATGATACTTACATTCATTTAAATGCATAGAATACAATTTTAACAGCTACATATTGATAAATTCTGTAAAATTGTAAAACTGTATTTTTGCTTTTTATGGAATTTTTTATGTAACCTTTTGATAGATCATAGATAAAAATAAAATTCAATAAAACTGGAAAGATAAAATTCACAATCAAAACAATACCTAACAAGCCTCAAATGTGTAACATAAAAGCCCGTCAAGTAATCACAGCACTTTTGTTGCCAGAATGCCAGCCTTCAATAGAAATAATATATTTTTAAATAAACTGCACCACAAATTTATAGCAAGATTGAAAGTTTTGTAGTTATTATGGAGTTATTGAACCTTACATATGGAAGGTTAAGGTCTGAACAGAATTTTATCTGTGATGTTTAGAATCAGTAACAGGTGTATCTTTAATGGCCTAATCAATGCTAACACTGCTATTAGCATTCAGTTCCATCATTCATGCTGCTGCCAGCCAAGTGAATGATGGTGGTGATGTGGAGTGAGGGTGGTGTGGTGTGGTGATGAGGGTGGTGTTGTGGTGGTGTCTAGGCAGGGTTGTGAAGGAATTAGGGGGTCATGATATGAAAAGTTGGAATCAGCAGCATTCCTTACATGAGGCAGACAGACAGAACAAAAATACCTTGGAAAACTGCTGAGAATGCTGCTGGTTGCCAGGGACTGCAAAAATGGCAGTCTGAGGGGGAGATATGAATTGATCTAGGTTAGTTCCAACATATGTTAGTGTTAATTTGTCTACGGTAGTAACTACATTTACCATAATGTTAACAGATGAATGGTTATCAGATGGAGTTTATTACATGCGAGGAGCAGAGGAATGAGGCAAGAGCTTCAACAATTGCTGACTGGGTTGTCAGTGGGAAGGCGCCTCCTCCCAAGAGATTTTTCAAGTTGGGGTGACATTAAGTACTGCCAGCTTATGTAACATTTGAGTGCGGGCCACAGAATGATTTGTGCATTCAAAAATAAGGTGGTAAATGGTTTCCATAGAGCCACAGGGGCAGAGTGGATTAGGAGCCAAGCCAAAACAAGCCAGGTGTGATTGGACACCAGCATGACCCGTACGTAGGCAAGCTACAGCTGTCTCAATTGCCTGATTTGGGTGTGAGGCCCACGGCCATGTGCCTAGATTGTCCTTAACCTGAGCAATGAAGAGCCCCTTTCCAGATCTTCTCATTTCCTGATGCCATGATGTGCACCAACTAACAGAGATTGCATCATCTATCGATCTCACCAACTCCTCCTTGCTCGGGGTGGTCAATGTACGATATGGGAGGGTGTGTGCTTCTTGGGCAGCAAGATCTGCTGCTTCATTTCCAAGTATTCCACAGTGGCTGGGAATAAACTGGAGCATCGTTGCATGGGAAGAATTCAGTGACAACAGTTTGGCTTGAATTTTAAAAACCAGCGGCAAGTCGTGTTAAGGTTTCCTATTTTTAATCAGAAACAATGAGCTTTGTGAATCAGTAAAAATAACAAATTTTTCATCCAAAAGAAGGTTATTTTGGGCCCAAGTGAGAGCCTCCTGTATAGCAAATAGTTCTGATTCCAATACTTGTACTTCCGGGCAGAGCTTCCAGTTGAGAGAAACTCCCCTGGATGGGACTACCACAGCAGCAGATGTGGAGCATGTGGGTTCTTCTACTCGTGACCCATCTGTGTAGGCAGCCACACAGTTTGCGTACAGTACTTATTTTGGGAAAGATCATGAAACATTTGCGTGATGGCAGCAGGTGAGAGGGATGACTTTGGGATGCTGTCAAAATTGGTGAAAATATTATTGTCAACATTGAACCATGGAGGCAGAGGTGAAATCAAAGGGGATGCAATGAAGCGCGGACAAGGGAGGCCAATGCTGCTGAATATTGCCCCTGGTATGGAGAACAAAGGAGCAGGGCGCATTTTCTGGACAGGAGTGCCTGGCAAGGATGAGCTCGTTGGTGGCTGGGCACTTAGGGAGCTGCCGTAGCCTGGAATAATATCTGCACATTGATTGATCTCTATGGATTTTAAGGGGAGGAATATTTGTTTCAATTTCTAAGGTAGTGATTGGAGTAGTTTTTCTACAGCCTGTAGCAATTCTGAGGCTACTGTTTTGGAGCACGTTCAGTTTGGATAGGTGCGATTGCGCTGCTGATGCATAGAATGGAGAGGCATAATCAAGCTTGCTATGGAGTAGAGCTTTACAAGTGTCTGACAATCAGCACCCCAATGCCTGTGGGATATGGATTTCAGAAGATTGAGTACTGGCAAGCATGACGTTTTCAGTATTTCTATATGAGGCCTCCATCTGAGGCAAGGTGCATCCAGCACAACACCAAGGTACCTGTGTTGCTGAACAAATTCTAGATTGTGTCCATTGGCTCGGATGAGAAGAGTGCAAACTTTTTTGGTGGTGAAGCACATAATTTTGTTTTTTTCCTGATTTAATTTTAAACCCCATCTGAGTGTCCAGTCTACAAATGAATCTATTTGTGCTTGAAGTAAATTAGTGGCTACTTGGATGTTTGGGTGACTAACAAAAAATGTGATTTCATCAGCATACTCAGCAACTGAGACTCCATGAGTAGAGGGCCTGTCATTCATCATCACATTAAACAAAGTTGGGGAAAGTATTGCACCTTGAGGTACCCTGGATTTTGATAGGTCTAGAGGAGGAGTATTCTCCTTCAAAGAAGACTTTAAAGGTCCTTTCACTCAAATAGGCATGAAACCATCTCAAAAGTGAGCCTTGTACTCCACAGCAACTAAGTTTATAAAGGAGGCCTGTATGCCACACCCCATCAAAAGCACTGCTAAGATCTACAAAACAGACTAGCAATGCAGACCTTGTGTGGAGAGCACGATGGATAGCAGCTTCCAGTCTGGCTACCTGATCAATCGCCGACATATGGCAACGAAATCCCCCTTGGGAAGGGCGCAGGGCCTGCTCCCGCTCAAGGAAGTGAGACGTTTGTTTATCATTGACTCCATTAGCTTTCCAATGCACGACAGAAGGGAAATAGGTCTGTAGGAGGAAGTGCATGTGAGTGGTTTGCCAGGTTTAGGTATGGGGATGACCACTGCTTCCTTCCAAATTTGTGGAATAGTGCCAGTTTCCAGACTTTGATTGAATATCCCTATCAGCCAGATGCAGAAATCTAGAGGGAGATGAACAAGGTGTTGGTTGTGCACCTGATCAGAGCCAAGGGATGTGCTCCTCAGCGAATGTATGCAAGAATCCATTTTGTGCAGCTGAAAATGGAGCATTTAGGAGGAATTAACTTCCTCGTTCAGGGCTATTGCTAGTGGAAGGGTTACAAATCTTGGATAAGGAACTGGCACAGGCGATGATAGCACTTCTTCATAATGGGAGGCTAGTGCATTAGCTTTGGATGGGGAATCAGAAATTATTGAGGAGTCTGACAAAATGAAGGGCTGAGTTTTTCTTTGGAAAGGTGTTTGTAGTTGCTTTATTTTATGCCATATTTCTGAAATAGGGGTATCTGAGGTTATGGAGCTGCAGTACTTAGTCCAGGAAGCTTTTTTTGCAAGCTTGACCTCCCTCTTGATAACTGCCTTGCAGCGCTTGAAATTAATTAAGTTTGCTTGAGATGGGATTGCAATCAGGGCACGCTTAGCAGCTCGTTTGGCCTCCACTGCATCAGCACATGCTTGATTCCACCAGGGTTTGTTAAAGGCTTAAAGCGTGGAGTGATGATCTCTTTTGTCTTAGGAAAAGACTGCAAGCTTGCTGAAATTATTGCATGAGTAATGTTGTGATTGCTTGCCTCTATGTTGTTGTCTGGATGTATGCCTTGCTAAGTGAGAGCAGCAGACCAGGCAGCCCAAGACCCATCACCAAACATCCAGGAGGGACGTGTCTGGTATTGCACAGTGGAGGCTTCAATTCCAATGCAGGTGACCACTGGATAGTGGTCACTACCCATGTCATCCACAGTGTAAATTGTTGATAAAGTGACAAGGTCAGCAGCTATGAAGGTTAGATCCAGTGTTGAGAAGGAGTTGTGATAAATGCTGAAGTAGGTAGGCAGAGATGGGGTTAGTAGAGCTATGGATGGTTTTGCAAGAACTGACTCAAATTTCAACCTGTTGCATTAGCTACCTTGCCAGGCTCCCATAGGAGGTTATGAGCATTGAAGTCACCAACAATGACGCAAGAGGGTGCCAGTTGATCAAAGTAGTGTGTGAATTCTTGGTGGGTCACAGTTTCATTTGGGTTGTAGATGTTGAGAACTGACATGGGTTTATTTCCTTGCAGAAAAACAGTTGGCCCTAAAAATTTTAGTTTACCTTGGTTAAAGGGATTTATTGCAAGGCCAGTAAAAGGAACATCGCTGCGGACAAGGATAGCAAGACCACCACCTGCATGGTTGGCATTTCTATGCTTGTAAATGGCTGTATAGTTTATAAAGCAGGGTTCATATGATGTGGCAAGCCAAGTCTCTGTCAGGCAAACAATGTGTGGCTTACTGGCTTAGTAGTGTAAAGGTGTAGTTTGGAATTGCTCAGCTTGT